CGTATCTTTAGGCTATAAAACGTGATCCTAAACACACTCTAAATAAACTAAAACTAGTTATAGTAATAGAAGTGATTTGGATCCTTCGTTCTCCGCGGCCCAACATTAACTAAGGGTGTATTTGGGTGACACTCCAAACCATGGTTTTGTCAATCACCCAAACACCCCCTCTAAAAACCAAAACCATGGTTTTGGGTCAAAACCATGGTTTTGACTCCAAAACCATGGTTTTGACTCCAAAACCATGGTTTTGGAAAAAGCAAAATTTTTTTGCTTTTGGAGAAAAAAGGGAGAGTGTGAGAGCCTATATGATATGTATCTTGTTTTTTTTTTAAACATATTTTTTGATAAACATATTTAATCTTATATTTTATAAATATATATACACATTAATTATTTATTAATTATATTATCTTATGTATTATTAATTATGTTGGTAAAAAATATATTATTAACAATTTTATTCCTTCAAATTAAAATATATCATAAAATCTATTTTTTCTGTAATTATCATATTAACTTATGTCTTTTTTTTAGTAATTTGTATATATAAAAGTGCTTCTGATAACAACTATCCAAACACTCTCACTTCTCAGAATCACTTTTTTACAAAATATATTCTTCACAAAATCTATTCTCCCCAGAATCTATTCTCCAGAATCACTTTTCCAAACCACGATTTGGTTTCATCCAAACACAGCCTAAACCTAATACGAGTTAAAGTTTCAGGCCAAGCAGAACAAAAGGACATATTATTAATTAAAAAATCTCACATTAATTGTTACCTTTTCTTTCTTTTTTTTTTACCTGATCATTAATTGTTACCTTTTCATGCAACACCTTTTCATCCATGTTGTGGGGGTTTGAACTTTGAAGTCATAGCAACTCTCTTCATTTATAATCTCACAATATATAAATTGTTTAAGGAGAGCCTATAAAAATACTTTTAAATTTTAAAATTTTAACTTAGTTTTGTTCTCAGGTAAAAAAAAAAGGATTTGTTCACTATAATTTAATAAAAATTGACAAGCAAATGATAATATATTTTTATAGTTATTTCTGATTTAAAATTTTAAAATTTTAGATATATTGTTTTTGGGATTCTCCCTATTGTTTATGCGGTAGGTACAAAAAATTGTCATTCTTAATTTTTTTTTTTCTTTGAAAAGAAAAGGGAAAGAGTTGATGGAGGGAGCAGAGTAGGTAATGTTGATTTAAGGAGATAAAGAGGGAATGATTGCGAAAAAAGTGGGATGTGAAGGGATTTTATGTGCAATGTATTATTATAATTATTATAATATCACATGTAGGTTCATAGGAGTAGGGAGCGGTTGCCCCCTTTTTTGTCTCTATTTGAAATGGCTCCAACCGGAATCAATCTACTTTCCACTATTTTTTCTTTTGATAAAGATTATTATAGCGCAAAATTTAATTACAATGATATTTGTCACCTTCTAATCCCAATGTTATTTGAGAAAATTATAGTCTAAACTCTAAATTCAAATCTTTTTTTTTTTGAGAAAAAAAATTTTCATTGAACGGCCTTAACTAAACTAAACTGTCTGAAAATTTATAATTTTAATTTCCAAAATTAATTTTGTTGAGCCGCAAGATTCTTTAAATTAATGTTCATTTTTCTTCTATCTTTCAAATGATATATATTACTTGGATCATAACGTGTGTTGTGAATTGTGACGTGTTTTCTCCTTTATAAGAGGAGAGCAAGTCTTTTATACAAACTCATAGCTAAATTATACTATTCATAAACACGATTTATTAGTGTTTTTTTTTAACATACAGACAATTGATGATTTCAAAAATTGGACAATTAATCCGTCATTGGCAGCAGTAATAATGAAATAATTTCTTTTATTTATACAAAGATTTTGATATTTATTATATTTTATTATTGTTATTCAGGAGAGTAACCAAATGTCATATTCATAATTCAACGGAATGAAGCATGTATTTGTTTCAATTATAAGATGAGGCTTTCTCTTTACTCTTTTTTATTTTATTCTAGTGTGTGTTAAATGAGTTTTAAATGTTTTGACAAAAAAAAAGGAGTTTTAAATTAAATGGGATGCCTCTTCATTTTCGTCTTCTTGTTTCTCTCATTTAATGTGTCATGCACTAGAAGTGAGACCCATCTCCCCCCCCCCCCTTTTCAATATTGTCTTTCATCTTCTACGAATGGAAATTGAACAGGAAAAGAAATTGTCCAATTAGCATTTTCTTGATTTGTGTGCGTAAAAGTGCAAAACTTTTTTCTTTTTGCAGATTTGTTTTTGTAATGACCCCAAAAAGCCCAGGAAAAAAAAAACAGTTCACAATTAAAAGTTAGTGCCAAAAAGCAGAAGCAAAAAAGATAGGTCTATTTAAAATAACTTATAAGTATTTAATTTATAAAATATGAGATAAACATATAAAAAGAGTTTTGTCTCAACCAATTTAAAACTGCTTATAAATATTTTTTAATGCTATCCTAAATATGTCCAAATTCAATTGTATTATAGAATAAATGGAGGCAATTGCAGAGAGTACATGGGTAAATTTGTAAATTTGAAATTAAAATTGAAAATTGAAATATATATAATATTAAGAAAGGACATATCATCTCACTGCAATGACTGTAGCACTGACCTGGAAACTACTTAGATGTGAGGATGCTTGTATTTTGCTTTTCCTTGCACATGCACTCACTTAACTATGTTGGCCGGCTTTTGAAAGGCGCCATCCTCCTGTGACCGCATTGACTAATAAAATTATAACATACAAATTCACCTCAAACAAATTAACGTCAAAAAATAAGTGCGTTTAGGCTAATTTTTACCATACAAGTCTTAACAAAGAAGGTGTGTGTATGGAGATTTATTTTTCCCCAAAATTTCGCTTCAAAAGTATTAAAAAAGCAGTAACACTTTCCAAACTGTCAAAAAAAACTAATTTTAACCGTTAACAGTGATATTGCTTTACTTTTAACACTTTTGGAATAATATTAAATACTTTTTTTAAATATTCATAACTTTTTCGTGGATATTTTCAGAATGAAAATAACTAATTAATATAGATCCTTGTGCATGTACATAAAGGCTCATCCTGTCTTTAAATTTGGGCGACATTCAAACCTTAATATAGGTTTTTTTTTTAAAGAAAAAAAAAAAGAAAATTGCTCGCAGAATCCATTTAATAGTAAACAGGGGTCCGCCTCAGTGACCAAGAAATGGCTATTAAATACTGATATCCTTTTTAAAATTTGCTGGTCCCATTATGTAGCTCAGAAGTTTTTTTATCTTTTTTATTTTTAAAAAAATCAGTACAGAATTTTTTTAACTGTGACGGAGAGACCCAAATTAGACTACTTTGTTTAGACTCACCAATTTAGTGCTCAGACACAAATAGAAGAAGCAACTTCAGGAAAGAAAACGTTGTTTATTCTGGACTGGCTTTGTTTATTCTTTTTTTTTTTGGTACAAAAGAAGGCTAAAGCCCAAATTAAATACTATTAGGATTGATTCCTACGCAATCCTGATCCACTAGCATTTGCAGACTCTCAGGGCATTTATCCCAAAACGAGGATTGAGAGATGCCCATCTTCGCAAGCCCATCAGCCACCTTGTTCCTTTCTCTTGTTATATGCTTCAGCTCAATTGTCCAACTGAAATTCAGTAATTCCCAGATTCTAAATAGGACAAGATTTCCATTTTGAGTCTCATCCTTCCTCATGAGTTGCTCAATAAGAGTCTTGGCATCAGATTCCAGAATCACACGTTTGAATCCAAAATCCCAAGCTAAAGATAGTCCCTTAAGGATCGCCCACTCTTCTGCTTCAGCAGCACTGCAAGTACCAATTGAGAAACAGAACCCCACAATCCAGGTTCCAGCTTGTTTATTCGATTGTAAAGGGATAAGCCTAACTCTAGCATAAAGCCCACAGAATTGAACATTGCTATTTCATGGACTATTTTGAAAAGGCCCATTACTTCTGTGCTTGTGATCTATGAACCCAAGGGGCTATAAGTAAACCCCACTTCATGAAAATTTATTATTGGGTGTCTCCCCAAACCATGGTTTGAAGAAAAAATGACCCAAATAACCATAAAAAAATCAAAACCATGGTTTTGAAAAAAGCATCTTGAATTTGCTTTTGGAAAAAATTGGAGAGTGTCATGCTTTTGGAAAAAATGTTATAGAATTTTATGTTTAAAATCTTTAAAGCAAATTAATATTTTTCTATTAGAAAAAATAATCATTTTTCTATAAACATATTTAATCTTATAATTTAAAAATATATATACATATTAATTATTTATTAATTATATTATCTTATATATTATTAATTATGTTGGTATAAATTATTTTATTAACAATTTTATTCCTTCAAATCAAAATACTCCTCCGGTTCTTAATATAGGACCCAATTCTTGAGTTGGTTTTGGTCCTAAATATAAGACCCATTTCTCATATTTATCAATTTTCTCTAAATTACCCCTATGGATACCCCCTCAGCCATAGTCAAGTAGAAGAGGAAGATGAGGTATTAAGAAAGATGATTATGGTGTTTTAGGAAAAATGTGTGATTTTTCTTATAATTAACTAACTTACCTAACTTCCTTAATCTAATCAAATTAGTTAAATGGGTCTTATATTAAGGACCGGAGGAGTATATTATAAAATCTATTCCTTATATAATTTTCATATTAACTTATACCCTTTTTAGTAATTTGCACATGTAAAAAGTGCTTCTGGTAACAATTATCTAAACACTCTCACTTCTCAGGATCACTTTTTTACAAAATCTATTCTTTAAAAAATCTATTCTCTTCAGAATCACTTTTCTAAACTACGGTTTGGTTTTAACCAAACACACACTAAAACTGTACTCTTCCGGACTGCAGAATTTAGACCAGACGATACAGGCAGCATCTAGCATGTGCTTGACCCATTTGAAATCCTTCTTCTCTGACAATGAATGATGCAGATGGTGGCAGAGAAGTGCATCAAAGCTTCGATATAGTTTTCATCGCCATACCATGATCATAAGATTCATCCACAGCGTTCTCACTCGTCATTTTCTCCACCGCAGAAAGGAACCTCCTCATGGCTTTGCGCGGCAGCAAAATTGGCACCACAATGCCATTCTCACCTTTCATGTTCCTGAACGCAGCATAGAAGCTAACACATGGTATGGCTCCAGCAGGCCCACCATAGACTGGTTTTCCCCACCCAAAGTCCACTTTGTGAAACTCCACGCGACTCGAATCAGCCACAAGATAATTCCCATTCGTTCTATACTTAGGACGTCCCTTGAGCACCATAAGATCAGCCACGGAGCTCAAGTACTCTTTGTTCATCTGTGCTTTAACCCCTCTGATCAACCCCAACGCGTGCCCCAAGGGGTTGTTGCAGATCAATCCAGCTTCTGATATGGCAGTTGGGAAGGCAAAGGCGTTCCCGTAATACCCATCAGGCAAGTCTAGGCCTCGTTTACCTCGAGCTGTGATAAAGGGTGAAATGGACACAATCTCGCTGGGTTTCAGGTCAAGTGCTTCAGTGCGGCACTTCCACAAACACGCAGTGAGCAACTCGAAAGTTGAGCAATTCCGAAGGTGATGGGGGAGACGATTACGCAGTGAGGCGATGTGTTTGGGGCCGAAGAAGAAAGATTCGTGAACTGTTTCGCTATCAGGATCGGAGTGTAAGGTTTGTGAGTTGGGATGTGAAATGGGTTGGTGGTACTCATGGTGAAGACAAGTGATGCGAGGTGGGTGTCGCGCAGACAAAAGGTGTCTCTGCCAAACAGGGATTTGAGAGAGAGGAGAGTGCGTTGCGAATTCAGACACCATTTTGAGGAATTGGACAAGGCCGAGTGTGTCGCACACTGTGTGATTCATCCAAACGCCCAACACAAATCCTCCGCATGAAAGACGAGTTACCTGCGAAATATACGAACATGTCAGGTCCCCCCATGCAAACTACAATTAGTGAACATTGCAGCTTTTCCTCCCGTCCCGCTGAATGAAGTTAAAGAGAATTTATTAGATTACTTATACATAAAAAATATATACTCCTTCCACTTTGTAGCGTAAATATTCTTATATGTAGGACTAGAGGAGTATATGGATTAGTTACGTAGTAATCTTAAAGCATCTTAGTAAAACAAAAAGTAATTTCAATATACTGACTGAATTAATTTTGTTAATATTCTCAAATTAGTTATTTAGCTTTTTTGGATTAAAAATTGAGGCAGTATTATATATGTAACAGCATTTTTTTTTATTGTTAATTCAGCCTCAAGCACCACCATCAAGCAAACGATGTTTTAAAATGAATTCCAGTTGTGCTCAAGACTTGAATCAAAATGCAAATAATATTTGCTTAGCTTGTAACAATCCAGAAATCTGGCCTTTGTGTCTTGCTTATACAAAGCAGTCTATGGGCTCTTAATTTGGGGGGGGGGGGGCTTATCATTTCATGCATTTAGTGTATCATTATTCTTTTATTTGTCTTTTTAATTAGTAAGTGAGAAAACTTAGGCGTCATGATTTGTGGAATTTCACACAATCCAATCATATGGAAGTTATGCTTGTCCTAAAGATAAGCTTTTTTTTTCATAATGGATGATTTTCTTAACAATCCCCACAGAAACAAGTTAACACTATTACTTAGTTCTTTCACTGAACTTTATTTTAATAAATATAACTTTCATATTGAATGCGGGGTAAGCACAATCTAGTTATACATGTAACAGCATTTTTTATTGTTATCTCCTCCCGTCCCGTTGAATGAATTGAAGCTAAAGAAAATTAAAAATTTAGTAGGTTAATTATTTATACATAATATATATATGGGTTGATTATGTGCTTTTCTTAAAGCAAAGCATCTTACTTAATAAAACAAATTACTAATCTCGTATAAGAGTTGATTGAGGATTAAATTTAGTTTGAAGTATAAGAGTTTCTAACCTCGAGGTAATTTTGATATATTAATTAACTAATTTTTTAATATCTTCAAATTAATTATTAGCTTTTGGATTGAAAACCTGAGGTGTTATTATATATGCAAGGGCATTTTTATTTTCAACTTCATATCAAACACAATTTTTTGTTAGACCACGAGTATCCTAACCAATAGCTAGACTAATCCTTTCCAGGTGTAGGAATACTAAAATGAGTTCTGCCTTTTTCAACAAAATCTTTTTCATGCACACAGTTTGATTTGCTTCAAACTCATATTATATTTAAAGGACCTAACCATTTGTACCATCTTTAGTGGTCAAACCAAATTTTTTTTAAAAAATTAAAAGCATAATCGAACTCTCAGCCTGCCACCTGAAAAAAGTGTAAATGCCACTGGATTATAAGGCTTGGGATCAAACCCGGATATTTGATGGCATACACATATATACTCACATGAAGGATGTATATTTACCTGAAAGAACAAGAGAGGGCATCCAAGAATGGCTTCAGAGGCAGGCAAGGGAAGGAGGAAGTGGTTGAGATACGGACATGGTGGCAGAATTGAATCCCCAAGCTCCAAAAGCGACACGTCAGCATCAGCTTCCAGGAACAACACGCCCTCTCCATTACACTCCACCATGAGCTTTCTGTTCTCTCCTTCTCTCAGTCTGCCTGCGAGTGGATAGTAATACACCAGAGCTTGGCTTATGGCCTCTCTGATCACCATGGCAGGGTCCTTTCCTTCCAGTATGGAAGCTTCATTATCATTTCTGAAGAACATCACAAGAGGAAGATGAAATCGAAGGCCCTCTTGGTCGTCTATGTCTGATAGCTTCTTGGTCTCACATGGCGTTGGTTTTGCAGGCGCCACCAGCTCTGCCTCGCTGTGCTTTGTGCAAAACTCACTCCCAAACTTCCTCACTTCCATATCTTTCATTTTTATGAACTTTGGCGTCGTAATAACAGATCATGGGAGCCTCTGGTTTGGCACAATATATAATCAAAGTAGCAGTTAATTAATAGAAGTCTAAAAACTGAGCATTTACGTACGATGGTGATGTGGAAGATGACAAAGAAAAGATGAAGACGGTAGCACAAAGGAATCAGCGTGTTTCATCTTTGTGATTTTACTTGTCTTCTCATGCATCCAAACATGTGGCCACGGAGCAATGGTGTGAAGAAATTTGAACGAGGGGCTAAAAATAAATGGGTGGAATGAATCTTATCACCAAAAAGTCTCACAGCAAATGTGGTTGTAATGCGAATTTGTTTTGAAAATTTTGACTCAAAAATACTGGGGACACACAAGTCTTTTTGGATGTAAATTTGCTTTAAAAGTTTAAAACCATAGAAATATTATCATATATTATTAAAAATGTTAACTATTGGTGTCATTATTTTAAAGATCAATGTTAATTTTTTAATAATAAATTATAAGGTTGTTACGATCTTAAACTTTCAAAACAAGTTGTATCTCAAAAAATTTCAGGTGATTAGCTCTCTAAAATAAAAATTTCTAGGACAAATTTGCGCATTAACCCCAACAAATGAACAGCACAGACTTATTATCATTTTCTGTACTAAAACTTATAATTGCACATTACCCATTCATGGAAAAAAATTTTAGCAATTATATTCATTTTGTTGTAAGAGACCTCTTGGTGATTTTCTCAAAAATCTAGATGAAAATAATTTTGCAAATGTAAAATGATTTATATATAGGGCGGGGATCCAATGGGAAGGGAACTGAACTGAGAAACGAGTAAAATGCTTTATGCATCTTCACACTATGATATTTATGATGTTTGGGCGAACGGTCAGCAAACGGTCCCTCCATTTTTCTCGTGGTCCATTCCGGTCGCTGTCGCTTTAACATTTGTGAATACTATGATGTTTCGGCAAACGGTCGGCCAACGGTCCCTCCATTTTTCTTGTGGTCCGTTCCGGACGCTGTCGTTTTAACGTTTGAGTCTAATGTATGGAAAGAAAAAAATTGCTGGAAAAAAAATTAAAACAAAACGATTGCTTATAAAAATGGGTGGTTGAGGATTTAACTAATACTACATCCGATCCTTAATATTATCTCCAGTCCTTAATATAAAAGTTTATTTGATTTTAAATTTGGTTTTAAATATAAGACCTAAATCCATTTTGTCTTTTATATTTATCCATTTTTTTTCAAAATAGTCATTGTAGTTTGCATATATTAAAGATTCTATTAAATGGTAGTTCTAACTAATGCACATAATTAGTAAGGATATTTTAGGAAAGACAATACATATTTATTGCAAATAACTAATTTAACTAATTTTCTTAATATTTTTAAATTAGTCAATCAGGTCTTATATTAAGGATCGGAGGTAGTAGTTTAACTTTTAATTTGATCCCAAATATAAAATTACAATCCACTTTGTCTTTCATATTTATTTTTTTAAAAAATAGTCTTTATACTAGATGTACATGTTAAATGTTTAATCAAGTGACATTTGATTAGTAAAGGTATTTTAAGTAAGACAATACATATTTATTATAAATAATTAACTTAGCTAGTTTTTTTAATCTATTCAAATTAGTTAACTAACTCTTATATTAAGAATCAGAGGTAGTACTTAACAATGACACCGTTTGAAGAAAATAGACAGAAGTGAACCACAAGATAAGTAATAATGGAGAGGCCCCTTGCCGGTTGTGTTGTCAATAACTTGATAACAAATGCCAATCTTTATAAGATTTTACATCCACATCCATATCATCCATAATGATAAATTTATTAATGAGAAATACATGATAAATTTTTATATATCATTTGGTGAAGGTGCACCTAACACCCTAAATTATTAAATGGTACAATTTTGTTCCCAATCTATTAAAATAGGTGCAATTTCACCCAAAGCTAATCGACTCTAAAATGTCCGTTTTTCCCATCTCACTCCCCCTCTGATCCGTCCGTGTCTCCCCTTCTCCTTCCTTTCCCTTTCTTTCTGTATTTAAGAACAAACAACCCAAGACAAGAAAAAGAAGAAATCATAGGAAACAAGTAAGAAACCGTAAAAAAAAGAAAAAAAAGAAAAAGAAAGTATAACTTGTGTTGAGTCAAAAAGGAAATCTGGAAGAAGTTGGGTTCAACAAGGACCTTAATGCTGCTGCATCCATCTGCTGCAAGGTCTTTCCCAACGATCTCATGCTAATATCAATTACAACTGTCCAATGGAAACTCTCTCGAGAGAAGGCATAGAATAAACCTCCTCATTCTCTCGCTGTGAAATTTCCAACATCAATGTCAGAAAAAAAAAAGGGGGGGGGGAAAACACTTCACCTCATTTGTATTAGAATTTAGAAGGTCTGCACATTCGTAATAGTAATAACCATGATGTTAGAAGATTTTACGTCAACTAAACACAGCACAGGAAAATTACTCTAATGTAAATCAACTATAAATTCCAAGAAATCATATATGAATGCAAAAGGGAAGAAAGGGAAAGGAAGGAGGAGAGGAGAGACGGACGGAGCAAAAAGGGAGCGAGATGGGAAAAACGGATGTTTTAGAGTTTGTTAGCTTTGGGTGAAATTGCACCTATTTTGATAGATTGGGAACAAAATTGCACCACTTGATAGTTTAGGACGCTGGATACACCTTTAAAAATAGTTTAGAGTGTTGAGTTATGAGGGAATCTTTACCCTATATTATTTTATAAATTTTGTAAACATCAAATTGGTATTCAGAACAACATTTCTTTTTGGCAGTTTCACTACTGATATTTGTTCTCTCGAAAATACTTCTTGATGTGGCTAGATTCGTGGTGTGAATAAGAACATAAGGTGGAAAAATTGGTAAGGAATCACTTAAATAAAACCCACGTTCATAACTGACAAACACCCCAATCAAACACACTGGATTCTGCCATTTGGGCTCACTGTTAAATTGGGCGGAGCCTAAACAATTTGGGCCTATTATTCCTTTGAAGAATATCCACAATATTGTCTATCAATTCCCTTAAGGACAAATCTCAAAAAACACACTTATTGGGAGATACAAAAATTATTTGCTCTCTAAGCCTTAAAAAGTGAAAATTTTGATCAAATAAAAAATATTCTCTTAAAATCTTTGGTATAGTATTAGAAAGAGAGAACAAACACACAAATCCAACTAAATACAGAGTTTTCCAATATTATTATGAAGTTAATTTTAAATCAAGAGAGATGAGTTTAGCGGAATGAGCTAATATCTCATAATGTGGAGAGATATGCTTGTATTTAGCGTCTGACAGTATTTTGAATAGAATTATGTTCAATAACTTGAAAACAACATACCAATGACAATGAGATTGTTGCTGAGCGACATGAAAGTTGCTCAACAAGGAGGAAGTCAAACCTTTAATTTCGCTTATAACCTCAAATTAGTAGCATCCACCCTCTAGATAAAAAAGAAGAAAAAAAGCTTGGAGGAAATCTGTTGAAGGAGTACAACATTATCCATCAAAGGCACTTCCATGGCAAATAGTAATTTGCTGCACAATGTTAGTTATCAACTCTTCCTAATAAACACTTAAAAAGTTATGAGGTTGAAAGTTCTATCGCTCTTCATTGTGGATTCTGCCCCGGCGGAAGGGCGAAAAATGTCCACATAAAGATAGACATATTTTATATATATATATAATCGGAAAGCAACAGTTGTTTCGATAATTTATTAATTATTTTGAAAAAAAGCAGATATTAAAAAGTTTCTCTTTATATATATATATATATATATATCTTCAAAGATAATGTTTTAGTACAAAAATTTTTATATAATCAATATTCATCATTGTATACTATTTACATATTTTTTAATAAACCAATTTTATATAATAAAAATCATAAATAATAAAAGTTATGTATTTTTTATTAATTAGACATCTAAAAATATTTTTCATTATGTATCATCTAAGCAACTTTTATTTTTCTGAACTGACTTTCGGGAAAAAAAATGTACTAGAAAAATACTTTTTCACTTGGATCAGCCTACATCCCGGGTAGTCTCTGGTGCATGAAAAATGGGCTTGACAGATTGTTTTGTTTTTTTGGGGGGGGGGGGGTTTGAGTATTTAATTAGCAGATGATAAAATGACTTTCTTGCCCTCAAATATGCACGTCATTTGCCGGTTTGTGTCTAGTGCACCAAGGCCAAGTTTGTCTCCTCAAATTATGCACCATCTTCACATTCACACTCATCGATAATATGAGAAGACATTGCGCTTTAGTTAAACAACTTATCTAAAGTAGTTTTTCTAAGATTCTCTCGCTCTCTTTTCTCTTCTTTTTTCATCTCTTTATGTCCCCATATAACGGCTATTATCTAGATTCTTATTTGTCTTTTAATTAATACTATTTCCAATCTCACATATAAAAACTATTTAACTAATTTGATTAGATTAAGAAAATATATTAAATTAATTATTTGTAAAAACTAAGTATTATATTTCCTCAAATATCCTTACTAATCAAATTTATTGATTAGAACTACTATTATTAGAATGATTATTTTGACAAAATAAATAAATATAAGAGACAAAGTAAACTAAAGTTTTATATTTAAAATCAAAATAGAAATCAGACAAAATCTTATATTAAAAAATAGAAGTAGTATATTTTTTCTTTTTCTTTTCAATCAAAAGCGAGCAAATGGCTTTCTTAAATAAAAATTTTATACACGAAAAAGAACCTGCCCATTCGTATTTTCTATCTTTCTTTCTTTGCTTTTTTTTTTTTTTTAAATTCATTTTGCACCAAATGAATCACACAAAAGTAAAGCTTCGGTTTCCGCAGAGAGCTACAAAGTAAAGAACCTAGGCGAAATGTCAAAAAGAACATCTGGGGAGGAGAGTCAAAAGGAATCTCTCTCCATTAATGGCAAACTTGGGGAAGCTGAACCCTAAAACTATGGCTTTTATGGTGAACAAGGAAAAACACAAAAGAACATGAAGCTGACAATAAAGAGGCTTGAGGCAGAGAAAAAACAGCAAGGCAATATAGCAGCAATGACGAGACCTTTTTCATTTCATTTCAATACCATCCCACTTTGCTACAAATTCTATTGTTGGTAGGTAATAAAGGAATTTCCACATTTGCAGATTGACATTCCGACGCATTTCTGCTGCATAAGTTTCCACAAAATCTGACAACCTTCGACTGTTGTTGATGTCGATTGAGATTTTCACATGTAAGCAAATCTAATTATTTCTTCTCATTATTCTTCATGCCTAGTCATTTCATCATCCCATTTCAGTAAAATTCAATATTAATCATCATCATCATCATCATTAGTCAAAAGAAAAAAGGATCAGCTTAGAATAATAGGCAGTAATAATTTAGGGCAGAAAATAAGCCATGTGGTGAGAGACTTGTTGTCAAAAAGCAAGAGGCAAAGGCAAATTTCTGGGCCTACAATCTCTCACGTTGTCGGTAGCAAGTCTTCCTCGTGTTAGAAACCATCGCATCTAAACTTCCCGACCAATCTGCAATCCCTAACTTGCAAAATTCATGAACGAAACCATGATTCCACCAAGGAAGAGGCAAGGAGGAACGAAATTAGATGAATCTAATGGAATCTGAATGCTAATTATGAAGTTCTCTCTCTTTTTCCCTTGAATTTTTTTCTCTCGGTTCTTTTTAAATAAATTTTTGTTTTAAGAGAGTTAAATCCCTTCTAGTAAAAATATAAAATCAACTTACTATAAGGCCCCACAGAAACTAAATTTTATTATTAGTGAGACGGATGAGTGATCCATTTAAGAAATGGACCCAAAAAATCACAAAGACAAAAGCCACCAAATAGGGAGGGAGGCTCGCATCAAGCAAACTAATGGCTATTAACGAATGAAAAGTATCTTAACACTTTGTTCCATCTTCCAGCCAATGGGTCACCTAATCATAAATTAACGTACGCATATCATTCATTGAGATCCCTGCTTTACATGTTTGATCACAATTGATTTGATTTATCAATTTCTTGTAGATAGAATATTAACATTTCTTAATTGATTGCGCACAAGAAAATCCATTAAAGTTAAGATTCTGTATAAACCCAAGAACAAAACGTGACACAATAAAACCCACCCTAAAACCAGAATCCTGGGTAAGAGTGGGAACCACACGATGATAGAATAGATATAGAGCCAGAGGTAAAAAAATTTCTACAGTGATTAAGCAATTATCAAGTATCTTTCCTTTTGGTCAAATAAGAATCTTTCTTTCCAGGTAGGCCCTTAAAGGCTAAAACTAATACTTTCTTACCACCAAAGGACAGCAGCAAGGCAATCATGGAGTCAAGTAAGCAGCTATGCAAATATCATTATTTCCTCCAGACATAATATTGCTAGTTCAATCCAATCCCTGGCCAATGTAAAGCTTGCATCAGGAATCCAAATTATTGAGAACCAGAACCAACCGAACAACAAGAGCAAATATCAGGCTTCAGTTCGTCTAGCAACTCATGATTTATCAAGCAGAATAAATGAGAACAGCTCATAGTAACACTTGATTGAACTGCAACCAGCCTGTGTGGTCTGGTCCTCCAGGAAGCTAAATGACAATCCATCAAAAGCAATGCCGGGGAAGTGAATATATATTTGTCATCCAGAAGCATCAAAAGTTAGGTAATCCATGAGGCATCTTATTTGACAGATAAGGTAAAACAATACTCTCCATAGCATAGAGATGATCAAGCCTGAAAATTAAAGTCCATTTCACATATTAAGGACAAAATTACAGACAATGATACTATTAAATAGAACAAATAGACTCAACATCTGAAACAGAGATATGCATCTCATACAACAAAAAGAAAGCGCACTGTTCTTTTGGAATTCGGATTTTTCCAAGAAACATCAACGTAGACACTTAATTACCATACAACAGCGCTTTTCATCTTAAAATTTGTTAGATTGATATATTGACTCTGGCGTTGATTAGCAAAACATACATTTAATCTTCATACTTAAAAGGCAGAAGCAAGGGCTCCTAGTGCTCAACAGCTCAAGGTTCTTTGGCGGGGCTGGCTCTAGCAGGGTGACTTCTGAACAACTCTGTACTTTACGATGCCTGTCACTTGAAATGTAGCTGGCATAGTTAAAACGCATAGGAGTGCCCCTAATTCACAGAGCTTTAGAGTTGAGTTAAATGCTACTTTATGTGGCTTCTATAATAATTCGTGCCGACATACTTGATACTAGATATTTGAAAGGTTTGCACCGCACATTCATAACAAAAGATGGTAATGTGTCAAAGAAACACTCAATGAACGCGTCATAACTGAGAAGAAACATAAACTGAAGGGACTCAGGATTTCCAGATCACATATTGAGATGTTAAGCAAGATATAATTAGGTATCTTTGAACACATCCATCAGGTCCACTGTTACTGAAATAATTAGGAGAACGCATACTTCAAATATGCAGCGTTAGCCAAAAACGGAATTTTATGCCGTAACAAGATGCAGACTGAAACGTCCTTATTTTTTCCTGTTAGGCCGTAGAAGCAGAGTCCCTGATGGTTTCGCTAACAACTAAAAACTAAATATAAGGTCTTACCGATGAAATCATCTCCACTGGTCCATCAGAATCTATCACACAAGCTTGCTAACTAGCATAAATTACTTCACAAACTGTAGCAGTTGCATTTTACCTCTCACATTATTTCAAATTTAACGATACAGTATGCAGATATTAATTCCTTTTGGCGTATTAAATTCATCACACTTCATTCTTTACAATCCCAAATAAACCTCAAACCACCCAGAGTTTGGCATCGTCACCATGCTCAAGAACAAAGAGAGGGCCTAATTAGGCCTCCGTTGGAGTTTTACGGACGAGTTATACTAATATGGTTAAGTTACCACCCAACCATTTCTCCTCAGACTATCACAACTCACAAGACTCGCCATGAGGGTGCGGTGCAAGGATATTAGAACGACGGCTTTTGTTCTGAAACGTGAAGGCGACCCTGAAGAAGCTGAAAGCAGCATGAACTAGCTTTACGCGCCCGAAACAAAGTGAATTATTTCGCATTACAGACGCCTAACGGATACTTATATTACCTAGCAATCTAATTTCGACCAAGTGTCAAAACTCCTCATGAATCAAACACTTGCATTAGATTAAATTAAGCTCGGACATGAGTTAGAAGTCTTAGACCAGACTGTGCTAGAATGATATAATTATAAAGCTTTTGCCTTCCGAAATTTCAAAATTAAATCCTTAATTCAACTGCGACTTACTAAATGGATCAAATCTCATGCCAAACGAAAACCAAATCTAAGCATGAAACTTTCATCCGAATCTGTTGGTAATTCTTAGATTCAGAATAAAAAATCCAAGGCCAGGCATCAGGATCTATAGTATTAGATTAGCGGCAATCATGTTAACTGACATCGAGATAAACGACCAAATCTAAACTATTCGGATCTGATAAACCAGAATTTAACGAGTATAAAAATCCTAACTGTAAGAACTCCGACCTGAGATCTGAGAAATAATCACCAGAAAAAACCGAGATCCATGCAAAGCTTCACCGCGGTCTCCGATTCAGTTGATGCAAGGCGGGATCCGATTCAACGCCGGCAAGATAACCGCCCATTTCGCGCCATCCGGCGCAGTGGTAGAAGCAGAACCGGTTCCCGACCTGCACCAAGCGAATTAGAGACCGCGCGGTGAGGTAACCATATCATCGTCTTCCCCCAACACCCCACACAGCGCCCCCGCCCTCTCTCCCACCTTCCGTGGTGGATGAGGAGAGGCTGCGAGAGTCTCCTAATAAAGCTAACCAAACCCAACCCTACGTAGAACGGGTAAGAGTTAAGTTAGCATAGGTTTATTTATAAAGGCAACAGACGAACCTGATTCGCACACGTGGCCGTTACACGCCCGTGAGGTTTTCACGTACTGTATGATATCACCGCCCAGCGGCCCCGAAAGGGCGAGCGGGCTTTTTATTCTCAAAGTGAGCGTGGGATGTACTCCGCCAATGGGGTTGGTCTTAGATTTGGAGGAAATTACGAAATGAGCCATTTATTTTATAGGAGATATTTAGTGGAGATTAAACACTTTTTTAAATTAACAATCCTTAATTCTCTAATCGATCATTTTCAAATAAATTATTGTTTTCAAGAAAATCATGGGCGAATGTTATTGATAAGTTATCCTTGTTTATTGATACACTAGGCTCAAATAAAAAGTTGCCATTTTTAATGCGGTATTTTTTTTTAATAAAAAAGGTAGCTGTTCCTTCCTGGTGCTACAGTGACCGCACGTGTCAGCTAATGCGAATCCGACATGCTAGTGGTAAACAAGAGGTTTCAATCCTGTACGGTCTGGTGTGAGAGACTAAATCTGAACTCTGAATCTAATTGGCGACAGGTCATCAGACATAGTGGGTATTACCTCGCTGCAATACTCTCTTTTTTTTTTTTAGGATTAATACTTTTTTCTCAATTTTAAAGGAAAAATCTGAGACTTTTCTCAAAATGAGAACAGGAGACAAACTTAGGAGGTGTTTAGTGACCCTCAAAAGTATTTTTAAGAAGTATTTTTTTCTAGAACGAGGTAAACTTTTCAATATATTTACTCCGTAAACTGTAAAAAATACTTTTGAAACTATGATTTGATTTCTATCTAAACATCCCCTTAGATGAAATATAAAAGGCAAATTATTATCTATTTTTCAATTTTGATTCTTCTTCAATTTATATATTTTATCTGACATATTGGTGGGTATATAATAAAAAATTGAGAAAAAGTATTAAACTTTTTACTAAAATCTTTCCTCTTTTTTTTTTTTACCAGAGTACTAAAATCTTTCCTTAAACGACTATTGTAACACTAGTATGTATGATTAGCATTTTACAAAGTACAAAAGTAACTTTTGGCAGAAAAAAAGTAAAAAGAAAAAAAAGCACTAAAATCAATAATTAAACTCAGCTAGTACAGGGAAAAAAATCTAAAATTTAAGATTAATTATGTGACAATAAAAATCAAAGTTAATCAATTTTTTTAGATAAGACATGAGTTCTTCCTACTTATATAAGAAAGACTAAGAAATAAGAATTAGTCCATTTAAAACCAGAGTTATGGAAAAGATACGTTACAAGAGAGGTAGGAGTATTGATTTCAAAGAAGATAAATAAAGTGAGCTTTTCACAATTATTTAATTGGAAAAATATGAATAAGAAGGCTTCTAAGTGAAGCAATAATGAAATATACAAAAAATTTTAAAAAAAAATGTAGAGACAAGAGTCGTGATCATCATAGTGGATGATTGATGCTCGCTTTAATGTCAACAACGTCGTGGACACATTGCAAGGCACGCTTGCACGCCCCAACAAAAATTGAAATAAAAATAAATGTTCGTCTAATTTTAATTTATAAAAAGTTAACGTGCATCTAACAACACTTTGAAGTATTTTATGAAGGGCATTTAGAACTTTAAAGCATTTTACAGTATATTAAACATCCTAAAATATTTTTTAAGTGCATTCCGTATTTTGAAATTTTTTTAGGTACGTTCAGTATTTTAAAATATTTTTTTCAGATGCGTCTAGCACTCAAAAATATTTTTTTAGTGTATCCATTATCAAGAGGGAAAAAAAATACTCCAAAATGCTGTTGAACACACCTGAAAAATACTTCAAAATACTAAATATATTTTAAAATATTTAGAGATGATAGATGCATCTTAACCTATTTTTAAATCAACTAGCTCGACTTTTTTTCCTCTATATTGATATAAAATCATACGTATCAAATGTGAAAACATGCCCTTTCCCGTCCTTATTGTAAAAACACCCGGCATATTTTATTGTACATAATTTATTTTGACAAATGATTTTACTCTACTTAATATAATTAACCAAACTTCTCTCACTAATAATTTTTATCAAGAACATTTTGATATTTTAAAAAGTAACTAATTTTATTAATTTACATAAAATTATTATTAGGTGCTTAATTATAATAAGGAGCGGATGAAATAAAATTTTATGAAAAAAAAACTACATTATTGTATTCAAGAAAACTGCATTATTTTTCACCTGAAAAAAGTTGTCTCAAAAAGTCGCCAAAACTTAGGCACGCCCCATGACTCGATCAACACGTTGCCCATAAAAGATTTACATATTATGTATTGATGAAATTTTCATATTAGTAGTACTAGTGAAAATCAAGCTCGTGGGTGAACTCGTGCTTTCAGGATATACTATTTTTTATCTTTAATATAAAAATCAGATAATTAATTTGTAAAGACTAATAATAAAATTATTATTTTTATTAAAATTTCGAATTCACAAGCCTCCGTTCAAACAGAAGTACTTATATAAGCTGGGCTACAAACCCTAACCTGAACTTATGTTCAATCTATGAATTGAAATTCCTTTTTTTATAAAGAAAAAAACCTACGCACTCACATAGTACCACTTTTGTTTTTATTTTTTTGTCATTTATAATAGTTTCTCATCACATGCCAAAAAAATTATTAAATGGATAAAATCTTTTATTTTTGTCTTTATTAAAGAGATATGAATAAAAAAATGTGATATGTAAGAACAGAATTGAAAATGAAGTATTAAAAATGATATAAGTGATAAATAGAAATAAAAAAACAAAACTTCTCATATATTCGTGGAACGTTAAGTTGCGTTCAATTCTACGCTAAAAGCAGCAAATCCCGACAAAATTTTAATTCAAACTTAAAAAGCGAGCTGCGTGCTTTGATTTTTTATAGGCATGCCCAGAAATGTTCGCATATAGCCTGATATCTTTTTGGCAAGTTGCGACGCAGACCAAAGGCCGTATTCATTCCCTTTTTTTTCTAGGGTGCAATACTTGCAGGGGGGTATTCCTTTTAACCCCCCACTAATTTATGTCCCCAAAAGGCTAATTAACATATTTGGCCAAAAAAAAAAAAGGCCAGTTAACATATGGATGTGCAAAAGCACAATTTTAATTAACTTTAAAATCCCTTTAATACAAAGTGTTGAAAATAAGGGATAAAAATTGTGATTACAGTTAAGCAAAATTGCTAAAAAGTTTTTAACATAAATAATTATTTGTTACATGAGATTAGACAAACTCATGAATATGTGATTGGGATATCATTTTTTTTCTGTAACATTCCTTAATCTCACATACATGGATTTATCTAATCTCGTACAACAAATAATTTTTTATGCTAAAATCTTTTTTAATATATTTTTCTAATTCTAATCACAATCTCTATTCTCGTGTTTAATACTTTGTACTAAACGAGACTTAAAACATAATACTTAAATCGCATTATGTCATTGATCAACAAGTCGGTAGGAAAAATCTATACGCATATATAGCCTTTTGAGCTTTGATCCCACTAGCAAGAAACAAATATTTAAGTGTTTTTTTTTTCTTGGAGCATCTGGTGTCTTAGACTTGGCTCATTTTAACTCGGAGGATTTATCGAGCGTTCAGAGTAAGTAGTATCGAGTCAAAAATGACAAGACTCCACCGCCGAATACACAATACTACATTTTTAAAAGCTTAAACTGGATATCTCTGATTAAGCTAGTACAGCTTAACAACCAAGTGCTTGGTGGTAAGTGTTACATACGTGTATGTATGTATGTATCGGTTTTTGGTTTTGACAAGTGGCTCGTCCTGGTTCATCCACCGATATTGATCCAACGATGATTTGGAAGGAACTCAGTTTTAAAATCATACACGCCTCAACGACAATTTCAATGGGTGGTCCTGCCTCTTGACAATCTGAATAGGTTGTCCTTCCTGTTGTCTCTTCGAGCTAGGGGTGATATGTTCAGTTTTTTTTTTTAAATAATATTTTTTTAAAAAAAAATAGGTCTAAATGGAAATAAAACAAAAATAAATAAATGATTCAAATTTGTTGTAAGTAGGCTTGTTTGGACGTCTGTGTTCAGGGTTTAAATGTTGGCATCATCACACTGATAATAAAATGAAGTGAAATGCACATAATTTGGATTAAAAAATAAAATAGACGAGTAAAATAAGATGTATTTACATTAGATTATATACTAATAATTAGAGATAGGACTTTTTTTTTAAGCCAAAATCAAAGATAATACTTTACAGTAATATAAATTGGAATCTCATCACTATATATATAGTTAATGGCAAATTGTTTTAGATAAGGACACAAGTTCCCAGCCTCTAGCTGACCGTTGATATATTTGTATGTGCATATGTTTAATTATATAAATTTTTTTTTTTAAAGGCCAAGGGAACTAAAATAGGGGTCAAACGGTCAGAGTCAAAGAATGGATGGTACAACGCAAGAAACCAAACAAACCACAGAGCATTCGGCCAAGCAAGCAGCTTAGTAAAAATAAAATGCCAAAATTTAATTAATTTCCTCACAGGCTCAAACATTTATTGCGTGTGAGTGTGCGTTTGTTAATTTACCTTGTGTGCTATTCATTTGTCCCGTATCCCCAAAAAAAAAAAAAGTAGGAATCATAACTACTTCACATATTTTTTTTAAAAAAGGAAAATTTAGATAATCAGATTTATACATTTAATGTGTTTGATTATTAATTCCAATCGAATCAAGACATATTAATTTTTGTTTCTTATTTATAATGTGACAGTTTCTCTTTATTAAGGCTTATCTAATCATATTTATAGGACATTTTTAGTATGTTTTACACAGGCAACAAAAATATTAAAAACTATGTTAACTCTCTTTTAAAATATAATAACTTTCTAATTGTACCCAATATATACATCTTTCAAGGAAATAAATATATACACTATAATATATTAAAAATAGT